GTAGGGCATTCAACTTTGCATAGCACGTTGTCCATTAATTTTGTTGTAGAAACTTATAGAAAAATATTAAAACCTTTACAAATCCGTTATCTATTTTATGGGGACTCTGGCAGCATCCCTATTGTTCATCGTGTAAGCCAATAGAAAAATTATGGGCCGCCATATTTGTGATATATTGACCATTTGTCTTTGTTTGCGGACATTATAATCGTGAGTTATGTGGAACACTTAATATACGTTCGTTAACTTAAGGTACAGGAACGTAACACAATTTAGTGGAGCGGGATCTCTGATGAATCTATAAAGGTTGGATATAGATATTACTCGATGTCGTTTTTAATAACCTGAACACTTGAATTTGAATTACACCAACTTTATTCCAATTATGTGTCCAAAATACCAACCGCGTGAAAAACTACTTATTTTTTAGAAAGGCTGGGCGTGACCAGTTGGTACAGTCTATCTTCTAGGCTATCTGTTCAAAATTATGGACAATTCTGCGCATGTAGCCCTTGTGTAGCTCCGCATGAAACTTCTATAAAACAAACAAAACAATATATTTGAGACCTTGGACTTCTGTAGCACGTGTTTGTTATCTTAAAGTTGTCCAAGCTCTAGAATCATCAAAAGAAGTTGCCCGGACACTGGAATTGTCAAATGAAGTTGTCCAGCCACTGGAGTCATCAAGTAAATTTGTTCCGACACTGCAATCATCACACGCGCTAACCGTTACTTTGCAATATGAGTTCAGTTGTTTACTTGCTTGTTTGTTTTTTTTTAATTTCGCGCAAAGCTACACGAGGGCTATCTGCGCTAGCCGTCCCTAAAACTAGAGGGAAGGCAGCTAGTCATCACCACCCACCGCAAACTCTTGGGCTACTCTTTTACCAACGAATAGTGGGATTGAACGTCACATTATAATGCTCCCCACGGCTGAAAGGCCGAGCATATTTGGTGGGACGGGGATTCGAACCCGCGATCTATAGATTGCGAGTTGAGCGCCCTAACAACCTGGCCATGCCGGGCCCAGTTGTTTGCAATATAAGTTAAATTATTTGCAACTTAAGCTAAATTGTATCAGCTACTTTTTGTTTTTTTCTTCTAAGTTACCCAGAAAAATTATAAATTGACTTGTCAGTTTGTAAATGTCACCGCTAATTGTAAACTGACAAGATATACTGAGAAATATACTTGTTGACTTATTAAATGTACATGTCATTTTATAATCTCCCTTCGTTTTATTAAGTAAGCTTTTTTATTTATTAAATGTAAAGATCGATTTATGAAATGTGTACGATAGTTTGGAAATGCACACTACGTTTTATTGAACTACCTGTTTATTTTGTACATGAACACGTCGATTTGTAAGTGTACCTGACTATTTATAAAGGTCCCAAGGCGGAACAGCGATACGTCTACGGACTTACAACGCTAAAATCTGGAATTCGACTCCCCGCAGTGAACACAGCAGATAGCCTAATGTGACATTGGTATCAAACAAACAAAGAGTGCATATAAATCAATTGGGTGATTTAATGAAACTAACGGGAGATTATAAATTGTCATGACCATTTAATAAATCAGCAAGCAGTGCCGTAAGTACGTCCCCTCAGACTCTGCAATTGCAGGGGAGGCACGGGACAAAAGGGGACTCGAAGGGTTTGTTTGTTTTGAATTTCGCGCAAAGCTACACGAGGGATATCTGCGCTAGCCGTTCTTAATTCAACAGTAAAAGACTAGAGGAAAGGCAGCTAGTTATCACCACACATCGCCAACTCTTTTACCAACGAATAGTGGGATTGACCGTCACATTATAACGTCCCCACAGCTGAAAGGGCGAGCATGTTTGGTAGGACGGAGGTTTGAACCCGCTACCCTAAGGGCTTAACAAACGTTAGAATTTCTGACAAGGGGAATAAATATAGGGGGCTCAATTACTTTTTATGTGTGTGTGTGGGGAGGAGGGAGCTTTTGTAGTTACGCCACTGTCAGCAAGCATAGTTTTTAGCCAACTTGTCAATTTATAAATGGCAGTGACACTTATAAACTAAGTGTGCGATACATAAATTACACATACAGTTTACATTAAAACTAAAATAAAAAATACAAAAAACTTTTATTGCAAACTATACTTGGCGCTTCATCTAGCGTCGTCCAGCATTGTTCTATTAAATCTGCCTTCACAGATTAACCTAACTTATTAGACTATGTGTTCTAACTACAAACTGTTACTGTTAGTTTGCGACGTTTCTTCTGTAAAATGAAGATATTCCTTATTTAATACACACTTTTGGTATTCCCAGTTTTTACATAATAAAAATGTATAATTATACAAACAAACCTGAAACGTTATCGTGTAATAGTTTTAATATGTGACATCAATTGTGGGATTTACAATATATTTTGGTCTTGAAATAAGTCTAGGTCCCCTGGTGGATACAGCAGATAACCCAGTGATAGCTTTGCTCTAAACCAAAAACTAACAAACATGACTCTGGTCGTGAGATAAGTCCATCTAGTGGTGAAAGTAGACAAAAATGAACAGAGCTGTATAGCTAGCTAAGATCACATAGTAAACAATTTGAAGTTTTCACAGTACATGGTCGGTTAGAGATATATTCCAAAACTTCGTTATGGGGAGTATGCTAATGACAAAAATCCATTTTCATTTATATTAAACTTGACTACCCATTGTAAGAAAATTTCTTCATCTGATAATTCTTTAATAAAAACATAAAAAAACTTTTTTATGTTATAAAATATTCCTAAGTGATAGAATGTAGTTTGTTATTTCAGGTATTTGTTTTTTTTCGGAAATATTATATTATTTCGAGAGTACGATCAATTCTGAGTGTTTATTCAAATTTCTTTTTCCAAATTTAAAAAAATCTTACGTATAACTTAAAAATAACGAATACGTGTTACTTTAATTGAGTTTATAAGTTGTAACATTAAACCTGAAATAAAATAATAAAAGAAAAGAAGCATTAAATCTGATCAAACTGCTTACTAAATCTAAGTTAATCTTCGTGAGGCACTACTCTGAACTGTCATAAAATGTCGTAATTTTAACCGTGTAAAAAGTTGCTGCTTAGAATTTTAATCGATTTTACACATAACTTGTAAATGTAATTATAAATTATAATGATGATCACTGGGGCGAAGTTGAAATGTATTTTCCTTTTTTTCAAAGTCAACTTGTAAATGTAATTATAATGACGATTACTGGGGCAAATTTGAAATGCATTTTCTTTTTTTTTTGCTAAAAGTCATACACAGTGTTCACATCCTTATATTCATCTCAGGATGTGTTGTCACATCCAAGTATACAGAGGTTATAATCAGAGTTGAATAGGATGTTATACGTAGAGATTTCTGACATAATAGGTGTAGACAATTCTCTCTGATATAAAACAAACTGACGAGGATAAAGGAAGTTTAAATTAACATTATCAAACAAACAAAAACTCGTTACCAAATGTATCTAATTTTAGTAGGAAGTAGCGAAGATAGTTTCGAAGTTTTAATAACTCTCAAGCAATATCGATTATAATATTTGATAGAAAGGATTATCGTGATTGGCTTTGATTCTCGGTTCGGACTATATAGAAAAAAACTTTATTAATTGATTTTTGATGTTTGAAGCAATCACCGAAGAAAAAAAAAGACTGCTTCAAACATCAATTGAATTTTATTAAAGTGTTAAGCATTTTTACTAAAGTTACAACAAACATTTTACTAACTGTGCAACTAACGTTTTATCAAAATGCAAAAATAAAAATAATAAAAACAACAATCAAAAACTGTAGAATTTAGCATACATAATGCCAGTGACTTTGCCGTGAGTCTCACAGCTTAGAACATACGCTAAAATTCGTGTTTTGATACCTGATGTGGGCAAAGCACTGATAACCCTCTCTGTAGCTTTGTGCTTAGTAAGAATCAAACAAAAAAGCATATATATGATACAAGTATTTAAGACTTTACAACCGTTTTTGGAGAAAGCACACGCTTCCTATGCTTTTCTACTCTTGTATTTCAAAAATACTTTTATCATATCATTAACTATCCATCAGTTTTTTTAAAAACCGTTTTATTTAAATTATTTATGTGCACCAAATTGTTTGTGAATCTTAATAACGTATTAGCCCCCCCCCTCACCCAGTGCCATAGTGGTATGTCTGCGGACATATACTGCTATAAACCGGGTTTCGATACTCGTGGTGGGGCAGAGCACGGACAGTCTTTTGTGTAGCTTTCTGCTTAATAACAAACAACAAAGTATGAGACATAAACAAAGTAAGCAAAAACGCCATCAAGATTGCCATTAGTCCTACTAATTACTGCTAGAATTTCCTATGTATTTTACAAAACAAAAAAAGTGATTTCACTCGATTGCTTTAATCAGTTCTTCATGAATATGCAAAGTTTTGTAACAGACAAAAACATTCTGTTTCAGTACGATGCAATATTATATATATATATATAAATATATACATTTGTATTTATTATTTTAAGGAAGTCATTTTACCTCTAGACTCTGATTAAGTATTATGATGACATTTAAGGCACAGATTAATCTCACTACACTAATGACTGTGTGGGCAGTTTTCAGAAACATTATATTTAGATATATATGTCAAGCTATATATAAATGCGAATAAACCTAATTACTTCGTCATCCAACAAGATACGGGCAAAATGGTGTTTGTTAATCGTTAACGTCAATACTCACGACGACACAATACTTCCGTTGATCCGTGACGTATTAAAGGCTGTCGTTGTAGTACAATACGTTTCTTATAGACGGGTTTTAATAAACGAACAACTGTATTCTACTATTTACCGACTTAACTGGAATTAATATGAGACCGCCCACTACGAGCTGGGTCCTTAGTGCACAGTTTACCCACTAGGCGTATAAGGTTAACCCTCGATAATCTTTGTAAGCAAACCACAATGATGAGAATCAAACAACTGTAAACTTTGTACTGGAAAAGGGTGGTGGTAACCAATATTTGATGGGCTTACTTACGAAATTGCCTCCCAGTGGCTCAGCGGTACGTCTGCAGGCTTGTAACGCTAAAAACCGGGTTTCCATACTTATAGTGGGCACAGCACAGATAGCCGATCGTGTAGCTTTGTGCTTAACAACAAACAAATAAACTTACGAAAACGTAGAAACCACTTTGTCTATTTAAAGCTAGATGCTCTAGATGGGGTTTAAATCAATTATAATATTGACTTTTAAGAACGTCGTACAGTCTGCGAAAAATACACGTGGAAGAATAATTGTTTGTTTGTTTTCACATACAAATAGCCGCCCGCGTAGCGTCTGTCACGGGAATTTAATCCCGAAACCTAGCGTTCTCTAGTCATATACAGCTGGTGGACAAATGAGCTCGGATTGAAATATATTATTAAGGTGCTAACAACAGTAAGAATTATTATGTCGCTTAGGATAAACCATGTTAATTACGATAAAAGTCACATCAAAATATCCCCCCCCCTTTTTAGTGGCTCAGCGGTAAGTCAGCAGGCAGAGCAAAGATAGGTCATTGTGTAGCTTTCTGCTTAACTACAAACAAATCAAAATTTCTTGCAAGAGTTATAATTTTTACATTTTTTAACTATGTATTTGCCACGAGATGGAAGTTATATATTTAATTTTACTAATAATTTTACTAATCTACGTGAAAACAAATCCTCCTTCTTTAAAGTATGTTGTTGTATTTTACAGATAAATATTCCTGAAAACTTTAAATTGTTTTGAATTGTGAAGTAAAAATTAGTTTTGGAGACATAATGTGTTGTGTTTGGTTTACAAACTAATTATCCAAGTACTGTAAATACAAACTTCCTACATCGTCATACATTATTACACGTGAACTCGTTATCAAGCTTGTGTAACTTATGACAGGATGGGTCAGTTATTTCTAAATATTTATGAGATTATGGATTATTGAACTTTAATCATATGTTTAGGTAACGTTTGTTTGTTTGTTGTTAAGCTTAGAGCAACGTAATAGGTCACCTGTGTTGTGCCCACCACGGGTATCGAAACAAAAATTGTAGCGTTATAAGCCTTCTGAATTACCGCTGAGCCACTGGGGTATCGTTTAGGTAACTATAGAAAAAGTTATTGATTTGAAAAGCTGCAAGAAGTAACTGCTGGATTTGAGTAATGTTCGGAGAACTACCTTTTCAGTTATTTTTAGTTTCATGATTTAGGTATAATTTCTTAATGTTGCCTTGCTACTTCTTTATTACACGTTTCGTGATTTAGATATAATTTCCGAACGTTGCCTTGCTACTTCTTTATTACACGTTTCGTGATTTAGATATAATTTCCTAACGTTGCCTTGTTATTTTTTATTACACATGCGCACAAATCTAAAACGTGCAACAGCATAATATCTTACAAAACTGGCATAACTACCCACGTGCAATAATAAAAATAAACAAATAATTCCTGAAATGAAATCTCTTTTGGCGTGAGTGCAACGTAAATATTTCTCTACATCTGAATCATTTCCACGATAGCTCAGTCACTACACACACACACACACACACACTGTAAGTCAAAAGTCTATCTGTGGCTTAGAACAAACACTGGAATCGTATCTTATATGTTACAATATTATACAGTGGACCGGACTGCTAAATACAGAGAAATATTTTATTTAATATTTAATACAACACCTGCTTTAAGTAAATCTGTAAACATTCCTGAATTATATTTAGTCCAGCACCTGCTTTAAGTAAATCTGTGAACATTCCTGAATGACTTCCGTATTGGGCCGATATGTAATCCACCCACTAAATAGTTAATAGGATGTACAACGCCTTTCACATTGTAGGAGGTTGTATAGTGAGTATAGTGAGCTGAAGATGAGAGGCTTTGACAAGTAATGCATTAAATCTACTGTTACCGAGAAAGGAGTAAGATTCTCTTTTACTTTAGAATCTGAGAAGAGATAGAGATAAAAGTTAACAGTGTAATTACAAATATATTTAAAACACGTACGAAAATGAAACTGCTCCGTATGTAACATATTAATTTGTTTTTCTTTGGTTAATTTATGGTAGTGTAAAGATGAATTCACTTCACATTTTAGTTCTGAAGAACAGCGCCACCTACATAAATGACAAAAGTTTTTTTTAGAACTGTTTTCTACTGGCCCAATATGGGTTTACAGCATGAAGAGTATGAATTCAAGTTTACTTAATTCGTTGTAGGTCGCTTCCGATGAAACATTTCGGATTGGCTAATATTTTGCAGCCCGGCATGGCCAGGTGGTTAGGACGCTCGACTCGCAATCTGCGGGTCGCGGGTTCGAATCCCCGTCCCGCTAAACATGCTCGCCCTTTCAGCCGTGGGGGCGTTATTATGTGACGGTCCATCCCACTATTCGTTGGTAAAAGAGTAGCCCAAGAGTTGGCGGTGGGTGGTGATGACTAGCTGCCTTCCCTCTAGTCTTACACTGCTAAATTAGGGATGACTAGCGCAGATAGCCCTCGTGTAGCTTTGCGCGAAATTAAAAACAAACAAATAAACACTATTTTGCACTGGCCCACCGAGCATGGCTCTGATAAAAAAAACCTCTACCAAAACACTACATGTTGTGTTTTTTTTTAACTAACACGTTTATGGGTATTTAACGAGATATGCATAAACAAATAAATTAACCTTTCATATGGCCATGTGTGAGTGCATTTCTTCAAAAATCAAATCCCTGAAATCCAGAAGTTTACTGACAGCGTCTCTTTAAGATTTAGAGCCGAGGGCGGACCAATGGTCATCATGCTGGACTGTTGCACTTTTGGACCATTGTGTGCGTTATAAGAATAACGATAAAGACTGGCCGAAGAGTTGGTGGTGGATGGTGTTGCCTAGCTGCCATCCATCTTGTCTATCACATCTAAATGAGGCACGACTAGCGCAGATATCCATCTAGCTTTGCGCGAAATATAACAAAACAAACAAACTATACGATTTAGCTGCTTCGAGAGTTCTGAGCACTGGATCCTGCTTCTGATCGATGCTAATTGTGTTTATAAAGAAGTTGTCATGCGAGACACCGGAAAAAATAAAATAAAACTTTTTTGATAAAAAAAAAGTAAAAAGAAAGAAGGAGGTAAACAAAGTAACTCGTACAAATTGATACCCGTTTCGTGGCTGGTTAAAACATAAATGTAATTTGAATGTTGATAATAATAAAGAACGTTGAAGTATATATATATATTTACTTTTTATCCATAAATGTGTCCAACAGAGAAGCATCGTTGGTAATTATTATTTTTTTATTCTATCAATGTATAATTAAGGGAACACGAGAAATGGAAATTAAAATAAAAAAACACCTTTTCTTTTTTTTCATTTTAAAAGCTCGATAATCTAGGTTGGGGCACATTATATGTGATTTTAAACATGTAGATAAAAACCACTTAAAAACAAAGTAAACCGAAAATATTTTACTTTAGGATATAATGTCTTGCTTATCAAACTTTTAAAACTTGATTATCGTTGATTATCTTATTTCAACGTATATGAAATAAAAATACAAATTACTTTTGTTAAGTCCCTTGGTGGTACAGCGATAAGTCTACGGATTTACAACACTAAAATCATGAGTTCGATTCCCCCGGTGGATACTGTAGATAGACTGATGTGGCTTTGCTATAAAACACACACACACACACACATATACACTTTGGTTAGAATAAGCTAAAATCGTAAAAAAAAAAAATCGTGTCTTAACAAATGTGTGTAGTTAATTTTAACTCATCAAGATAGACTGGTTTGAATTTCGCTCAAAGCTACACGAGGACTATCTGTGCTAGCCGTCCATAATTTAGCAGTGAAAGACAAGGGAAAAGGCAGCTAGTCATCACCGCTAACTCTTGGGCTATTCCTTTACCAACGAATAATGGGACCGTCACTTTATAACGCCTCTATAGCTGAAAGGGTAAACAGATTTGGTGGGACGTGGATTCGAATCAGCGACTCTCAGATTGCGAGTCAAGCGACCTAACCACCTGTCCCATAAAGACAGAAGTTTAAACAACTGTATGGTTAGTGTTAACTGGTAAAGAGGCATGTCTGAAAAATTATAGGCGCGTCTAAACAAGCATACGGTATTGTTGTTTAAACGATATTTTGAACAAAATGAAAATTTAACCGCGCAAAACATCTTCATGGTTTTTCTTTAGTCTTGAATTCATAATAATTATTAAATTGTTTACAGTTTTTGTGCAAATATTGTCATTCATTTTATGGAATAAAATGGTCCAAAATACAGCAAAGAAGTTGACAAGCGCCCAATAAACAATTTTAGAAGTAATTCGTTAGATTCACGTGTAACTTTGGATGACGAGTTAGGTTGATTTAAACTGTTCACAGACACTATTGTTACGTCTCCGTTTGTTAATTGATTTTTTCCGACGAAACTTTATCGACACAAGTCTTTACTTAATAAAACTGGTTTATTCTTTCCGAATATAACTTTACGATACACTTAATTTCAATATTCGCGTGTGTGTGTAGATAGTGAGTAATTGAACTGCAGTCACAGGGTATTGTTGAAGTTAACGTTCGTTCGTTATAGTGTTTGTTTTAGTTATTCCCCGTCACGTTGTCACCCTCTTTTATATACCAGACTACCCTATATCTAGTAAACGCTAGAGCATTCGCCAAGGTACAGGATAGTTCTAGAAACGTGGCGTCACACTAGTCATGTGACTCGCTGACGCAACAGAACCTTACACATTCTAATAAACATATAATGCACTTTAAATCTATAAGTAATTTGACTATCCCCGTCGTGATGAACATTAGATCTTTTGACCTTCACATTACTTCTCCCCTATTGCTTAAAACAGACGAGTTTCATCATAACCTAATATGTTATCATCAATTTATGTGAGCAAAATCACAGACTTAACAATTATCAAACATAATGAATATTTATATACATATATTGAAGTTAGAAAAAGACGATATTATCCAAGATTTATCAAAAATAATGTGTATGTATCCTACTTATGAAGATATTAAGAA